TTAAGTGAGAAAGAAATATAAAAATAAATTTAGTGTGGTTTGCGATGGTGTGTAAAAAAAGAAATTACCATGATATTCATTGTGGAGCTAAAGAAAAAAAGTACAAATATTAGGTGCAGTTATCATAAATATGTAGGTATTATTTGAGCTCTTTAATGAAATGTTTGAAGGGGAATGTGCCAAAAAGATGCATTTTGGGCAGATAAATTCAAAGTGCAGCTAATTATTCGTACCCGTACATTTCCAAAACTAACTCAATCCTACCATCCAACAGTAATTTTAACTCAGAAACAAAACAAATTTGGCAATATTTAGTACCATTTAGTTTTTTCCACCTCTATCCGTTCACTCAAATCTAAAGTGTACCAAATTTAGTACCGTTCAGTACACATAATTACGAACTTTCAAAACTACCTCCATATCTAAATCCTGCACTTCAACAGTAATTTTAATTCCAAATTTATGGATCTCTATCCGTTCACACAAATCCAATTTGTACCATTTAGCAATTTTTGTGCCCAAATGTATGAATCGATCCTATTCTCAAGCATTAAATTGAATTCCAAATTTCAGGATTCCAGCACGACCCGCCACACAGAAGCAAATTGTATCATAGTTAGTAAAATTTAGTACAAATTTCTAAAATTACCTCAATCCTACACTCCAACAGTAATCTAAATTATAAATTTCAATTCTAGCCTATCACACAAATGCAAAAATTTAGTTCATTTTGGAACCTTCCGTACCATATAAGTACGAATTTTCAAAACTACCTCAACCTTGCAAACCTTTCAGAAGCCCAGCTCTCCCTCAATCCTCAAACAAATTCAACGTGTACCATATTTAGTAACATTTAGTACTTCTCATGCCCATAGGTACGAATTTCATAAACTACCTCAATCAAGTTTCTACCAGTAATCATAATTTAAATTTCAGATTCCGATTTCTATACGTTCAACCAAATCTAAATTGTACCACTTTGAATACCATTTAGTACACATAATTATGAAATCCTACACTCCACTCCATTTTAATTCTAAAATTCTGGAGACCTGGTCTATCCGTTCACACGTAATCAAATTGTACCAAATATAGTACCATTTAGTACACATAAGTACTATAGTTCCATACTCAACACACATAAATACGAATTTCAACTAAATGCAAATAGTGCCAAATTTAGTACCACTTAGTACTTTTGCGCATATATAAACTGCTAGACATCCTGATATTCTATATATAATAGAAAATTTTAATAAGTATGATTCATCGTGTCCCTTAACCCTATAAAAATATCCAACCACCATGTTGTTGTGGGGCACTACAACAAATTCTTGTGTTAATAGTACATTGAACTAAAACAAAAAATAATTTTTTTTTCGGCAATATCAATGACATGACTCGTTACAATCATAATGTCTTTTGTAGTCGAATTGTTTTTGTCAATATCGCAAAATTTTTATCACCGATATGGGAGGGTTCTTTCTGTTTTGATACCAGTCAGCTTATCGGTCATTTAGTGTCTACAATGGAAATCCATATATTTGAGTAGATTTGTTGTTATTACTTATTTGCAGAAAATGAATGAATTGCAAGACAAATTAATCATAATAAATTTGATTTAATAAGAATGTATACAAATGTCAGGGACCTATAATATAAAATACAATAAGATTATAACAAATGGTTCGTAATTATATAATTGGTAAAAATTTGTGTTACTTCAACTAATAGAACATTGGTTAATATTATGGTATAAAACGGCATTTACATTACATCTTTTTACCGGGTTAACCTACTTTTTGAGGATTTATTTGACATGTATACAATACAATTGACAATTTAAATCCACGAAACGAAATCTGGCACAATGTAAACATAATATAACATAGCTACCAACTGATTAAAATTTTTTCTCAGGTGGCTTGTTTTATCAAATAAAAATATATATTTATAAAATTTATTTATAAAAATTATTAAAATTTAATTGAAATGAAAATGATTTTTTAGCGCTTACGTTCGAAAGTAAAAACTTTGTTATGGATGAAACAAAATGTGGCTTCTTCTGTGTTCTGATTATTTAACATAATTCGAAAAAAAATAAGGGAAAGGTTAAGATTTCTTGCCAAAATCCAATATGGAATACGATGAAATGCCCTATTGGATTTTGCCAAGAAATCTTAACCTTTCCCTTATTTTTCAAATTTTGTCAAATAATCAGAAGACAGAAGAAGCCACTGCCTACAGAGTTGCTTTTTTTATTCACCACAAGTTGTTCTAGCTTGCTTTATGGTACCATGGATTTCAATATTAATTTTTGGTAACTTTTAATATTTAAAGGGGAAACATATACAAGGATTTAGGCCTGGCCTGATTGACAGAAGAAGCCACTACCAACAGAGTCGCTTTTTTCACCACAAGTTGTCCTAGCTTGCATTATTGTACCATGGATTTCACTATAAATTTTTTGTAACCTTTAATATTTAAGGTGAAACACATACGAGAATTCAGGCCTGGCTGTTAAGTTGGCTTTGTAAGAAATGTCACTTTATAAAGGAATATCAGGGACAAACTTTTGACGCCGTTCTCCTTATCATATTCTTTTACAATAAAATAAGCCAACTTAACATGTCAATCCTGAAGTCCTCCTATATGTTTCCCCCTTTATAGGTATAATTTACTAAGGATTCAAATTAAAAAAAAAATAATAATCGTTAATACGGAAATATTTGGAATCGTATTACTTCCTTCCACGTGTAAATGCATAATTTAACATTTGTTTGTAAATAAGCCGAAGTTATTTGCATATGCATTTTTTGTTTTAATTCGTTGGAAAGTTTTATTTTTATTCTGAGTTCCTGCCAAGGTAGATTTTTGGTAAGTACACACCTTTTTTAAGTTTATCATCTCAGTCTGCATTTGTCCACAAGTAAAATGAAAACAAATATAAAACAAAGTCGTAAAATTGCAAAGATAAAGCATTCAAATGTGTCACTTCAAAAGTAAACCAAAATAAATGAAAACTATATTGTGTGTGCATTCAAATTCCTCAAATCGGTAAAAACCTTTATATGAAGACTATGTCATTGTAAATTGCTTGGTAGTAGGTTGTTTTAGTCTAATAGCTCCATTGGATGGGGCTATTAAATAAGAAGGACCTCTACTGTCAAGTTACAACCACTTTAATGGGAACCAGTAAGGAAAATTCAAAAGTCGGACGGGTCCGACTATATGATATGTTTCACCACTTTGCGTACATGCAAGAGAGGCCCATATGTACAATATCCTGTAGATAGAATAGACTTAGCATCTTTGGGATGGAATCGGACAAAATTAACATATATATTTTAACTAAATTAAAACATATATATTTTAACTAAATTAAAACAACAACGGACGAAACTATATATGGTAGCTATATCTAAATCTGAGCCGATTCCAACAAAAATTCACATACATCAATCTGGACTTAATTCAGTGCGCTGTTCAAAATTTTGTCTCAATCGGACAAATATTGGCAGTATGGTGTTTCATTTACGTAAAATCGGACGAAACTATATATGGGAGCAATATCTAAATTTGAACCGATTCCAACAAATCTACGCATACATCAATCAGGAGCTAATTAAGTACTCTGTGCAAAATATTGTTTCAATCGGAACAATATTGGGAGTTTGGTGCACTATTTACCTTAAATCGGACGAAACCACAGTGTTGTGAAGGGTATAAAAATACGTCCAAACCCTTCAAAATACCACAAAATAGTCGGGTTGTTTTTTTTTATGGTGTCTAAAAACACACACCGACATCGAAAGTGTCCTGCAATGATGTTTTGTGACAAATTACAGGTACATCCCGGGTTAAACTCGGTTAATGCTTTAAAAATACCGAAAATGAGGTGGTTCTTTCTTCCTCGAAATTAGTTTTTTGGCTTACTTGGCCTAACTATTTTTTAGTATATATTCGGTGGCTTTCATCGTGGGGCACCTTTGAACAGCGCTCATATAATCTCGGTTTACATTTTTTCCAACCCGCAACCACTTTTTGTATATGACAATTGTTCTCTATCTGCGTAAACCACTTTGGCTACATTTTTCACATGGTAAGAACCAAATATTGAGAAATACAGTTATAGTACGTTTACATTTAACCGGATTTCATTAACCCTGTGGGCTTCAATTGTCAATTCCTTTGCATATATGTCAAATAAATCCCCATAAAGTAGGTTAACCCGGTAAAAAGTTCTAATGTATATGCCTTTTTAAATCTTTAAAAAATTGAATTCTCTTCTTTGGGTTTTCTTATACTCACCAAGAACTTTCATTCCAAATAGAAATTTTCCACCCCTTAGGCCATGACCCCGATTATGTCCCACAGAGTAGGTTGACACCCAATTAGAATCCAAAATACATATCAAATTTTATCAATTCAGTTGAAATACGTGTCCAAAATTTCTAAAATATCGAATATGGAAATTTTTTACCCATAAGAATTCGAAATACTAAATTACAACCGATTTAGTTGATAAACTTGTCCAAGGAACATTGAAATAAAAAGTTCAAAATCCGTAGACTGAAGCAGGGAGCTACCCAAAGTGGGATTAAATTACCAGAGCAATTCAAAACAACTTCAAATGATTAACAAACATTACTCTGAAGCTTCTAGTGAGCAGTAAAAATATGGCAAATATAGGTGGAGAATTAAATTTCCCTCATTAGTCCCATTTTCATTACAAACTTCAATTTAAATTTGCTACGCTAAAATCCGTTAAACAGAAATACTCCATAATACAGAGTAGAACATACAACGCCGTTCACTAAAAACGTGCAACGGCGTTGAAATCGATTTATTTACAACTTCGATTTATAACACGTACCAGAAATCGTTTTATCGAAAGACGGTTTTTTTGTATCCCGATTTTTTCACTTTGGATTAAATCTCTGACGGAAGAATTTGCAGGAAAATTTTTAAAATTTGCAGAAAGCCACCACCCCGATTAAGCCGTAATCATGGATGATGATCTACCAAAAGAATTTGATCTAATAGTCATTGGAACAGGTAGGTTGGAAAATAATTTGAAAATTTATAGCCATTGGGCAATACCACCCCATTGGCACGTATGAATCATCTCCCTTTCACTTTGTTTTATTCGTTTTTTTCCTTTTCTGTTTCTTTTAGGTTTTCCTGAGTCGTGTGTGGCTGCCGCTGCCAGCCGGGTGGGAAAAACTGTACTCCACATCGATCCAAATGAGTATTATGGAGGTTCGTGGGCCTCTTTCAATTTAGATGCATTCAATGCCTTGCTGGAAGAGAGCAAAGCCGCCGATAACAAAGAGATTAGAAATGGCAAATTTGAATGGCATATCCCCTTGGAGGGAGGCGAGCCAAGCACCGAGGAAGCGGCTAATCCTGAGGAGGGTGAAAATGCCGTCAGGAAAGAACAATGGACTGCCGAAAAAGTTTTGAAACTTTCAAGAAAATTCAATTTAGATTTATGCCCCAAGATTTTGTTTTCCTCCGGGGATTTAGTGCAATTGCTGATTTCTTCTAATATCTGTCGATATGCTGAGTTCCGAGCTATAGATCGAATTTTTACCCAATTCGAGGGAAAACTGTTGACGGTGCCCTGTTCCCGTAGTGATGTTTTCAATACCAAGGATTTGAGTATTGTTGAGAAAAGACTGCTGATGAAATTTCTTACCATATGTTTGACATATGGTGAAGACAAGTGTGAGGAGGACATGTCGGAGTTCAAGGGCAAGACATTTATTGAGTATTTGCGGGAACAAAAAGTCACTGAGAAGATATACAAGTGTGTAATGCAAGCCATCGCTATGACCAGTGAGGACACCACTTTCGAGGAGGGTATGGAACGCACTAAGAAATTCCTGAAGAGTTTGGGTCGTTATGGAAATACACCCTTCATATTCCCCATGTATGGTTGTGGTGAAATACCACAGTGTTTCTGTCGGCTGTGTGCCGTCTTTGGTGGAATTTATTGTCTGAAGAGGCAGATAAGTGCGGTGAATGTGGATGAGGGTGCCGAAAGGGTTAGCATTGAGGTAGATGGTCAACATCAAGTCCAGGCTAAACATATTGTGTGTTCTTCGAGTAACTTGCCGGCAACGATGCGCGGTGAAAAGCCCAAGAATGTTTTGTCTAGAGGTATATTTATTGCCTCTACTCCTTTGGGCAATTTTGAACTGAGCTCGTGTGGTGGTGGTGTTAGTTTATTGCGTTTAATTTCTCCCGATGGCAAACGAGAGGCAATACTGGTGCAATTGTCTCATTATTCCGGAACAACTCCAAAGGAATTGTGTAAGTATTTATGACACTGATTTTTATTTTTCGTAATACATATTTCATTTCAATTCCTCTTCCTCCAGTTACATTCCATTTAACTACAACGGCATTAAGCGATAATCCCCAGGCTGATTTGGAAGTTTTTACTCAACAAATATTTACAAATACCCCCGAATCACCCAACATTTTATACTCCTCCTATTTCACCATTAGCGGCTTTGAATTGAAATCCAGTGGCAATGCCTTAATTCAGGCAACTGCTCCACCCTTCTATGAATTAGACTATGATAAATCTATACAGGATGCACGTAATATATTCGGTAAGCTTTATGCCGACCAGGAGTTCCTACCACGTGCACCTGATCCAGAAGAAATTGTCATCGATGGTGAAGACCCCAAGGCATTGAGTGAACAGCAGCTACCCGATGATTTAAAGGCCCAATTGCGAGAAATTGAAAAATTTGCCGAGCAAATGGACATTGCCGAAATGAATGAAGAAAATAAAACCGAAGAAGCTATGGAATCGTAAATTGACCTCTGCAAAACGCGCAAATTTTTGAAAACAAACAAAGAAGACAAATATGATATGAATAATTTTCAAATTAAGAAAAAAAGGAAACGAAAAATAATTTAGTTTACTTATCATATACATTTATCTCATTTATATATTTATATTTTCTCTAACGCTTTTTCTCTCTCTATTTAAGCACTGCTATTTTTATGAAACATACATATTTATATATAAAAGTCAACAACAATAAAAGAAAAACAATGAAATAATTGTCACTTAAAGATTTGTAAGGGAGAATATTTTTAAGGGAGGTGGGGTTGGGTTTATAGATGATCTGTTGCAGAACATGAAGGGGATTGTTATGAGTGGTCTGGTTCTCTGTATCCTAAATTATGTAATTTAGGAAGGTTGCAAACTGCATAGTCAGTATCAACGTGTTGTGTGGTCCTAGTCCACCTGCTATGTAAGTGCTATCGGGCCATCAATTTTTGTCTAATAGAAATTGACCTACCTATTGATGTAGAGGTTCGGGCATGTATGTACTTTTGGGCCTTTATAAATAATATAAATCTCTTATGACAGGGGTGACCAAGCAGGTACTGCATAGACAATATTTGGTTGTTGCGATGGACGGGCATGATATTCGGCTCCTCATGATGATGGTCCACTGTTGTCATGAGGAGACACCCTGTTGCAGTTCTCCGGTTCTGACCACCTAACATAATTTGAAATAATTCCAACACATTCCATTTGTATTCTTGTTTTTGTTGTTTTATTATATTTGTTGTAATGTAATGTTTAATTTAACTATTTTAGCAAAAACTTCGTTTCACACTTAATTCAAAGGGGACAAATACTTTGTTTACATTTTGTTTTTGTGAGAGAAAATAAATAGCAGATAAAGTTCGACTTTGTAAGCACAGCTTTCTAATGGTAAATATAATTGTGTAAAATAAGTTAAACTCCTTGTCTTTGTTAGTGAAAAAAATAAATTATATTGGGATACAAATGCATTGGAATTTATCATTCCCTTCTACTAACCCAACAGCACCTTACATTAATTTCAAAGTCTCCATGGCCTGGGTAATGCGTTGAATTTCACTTTCAGATTGTGCCAATTTCTCAGTGTTGGCAGTCTGAACTTCGGCAGGTACCTTTGTGGTATAATCACTGGCAGCCATGGCTTGTTTTAGTTTGGCAACAGCCTGTTCCAATTGGGCTTGTTTCTTTTGCAGCTTGGCAATTTCTTTGTCAGCCTCAATGAGACCCTTCAACAATAGATGCACCTCACATTGACCGGTAACAGTAAGAATTGCGCAACCGGCGGGTGGAGTTTGATCGAATTCAATCTTGGAACAATACGAAACAGTGGCCAAATCACTGGCATATTTCTTGAGTATTTCATTGGGTTGCGAGTCCGTGCAGACAATATAGGCCTCGGTCTTTGTTTTGTTGGGCAAATTGTAGTCAGAACGGGCGGAACGTATGATGCGGGCGGCCTTTTGCATAAATTCAACATCCTTTTCGACTTGTTCATTGCGCCAATAAGTGTTGTCTAGAAATAAAAAATAAATCAAAAATCAATATTTATTATTTTTCAATGTTACTCCCTAAATTACCAGGATATGATGTCACACATATACTAGGTGTGTTGTCAGCACGTGGCAAACGTTGATACAATTCCTCGGTAATGAAAGGCATAAATGGTGACAGCAACTTAAGACCCAAATCCAAACAGGCAAACAATGTCTTACGTGCGGCCACCTTTTGATCATCGGTACCACTTTGGAATATGGGTTTCAAACATTCCAAATAAACATCACACAAATCGTATAACCAAAAGCTGTAGCAAGCTGTGGTGGCAGCAGCAAAATCATATTGCTCAAAACCATTGTTGCAAGCCTCAACGGCAGCTGAAAGCCGTGATAAAATCCAAACATCCATGTTATTTTCACTGCCATCCAATTGGAAGTTCGAGTTGAATTTCTCATCTCCGGTAAAGTACATCAGAGCAAATTTAGTGGCATTCCACAGCTTGTTGCAGAAGAAACGATAACCTTGCACACGGTTAATATCCAAATTAATATCACGTGCCTGTGTAATATAGGCACACAAGGCGAAACGCAGAGCATCCGAACCACATTCGGGAATGCCATTGGGGAAATCTTGTTTCTGGCCAGCCTTGGCTTTTTCAATTTCACGTGGATCCAAATTTGAGTTAACCAATTGGGCATGTAATCCCTCTAGGCTGATACCCTTGATGACATCCATGGGATCAATTACATTACCCAGTGATTTAGACATTTTGCGGCCATGGGCGTCGCGTACCATGGGATGCAAATAGACCTCCTTGAAGGGAAGTTTTCCCAACAATTTCTGGCCAAAGAAGACCATACGAGCTACCCAGAAGAAGAGAATGTCATGACCGGTTTCCAACAATGATGTAGGATAGAAGGCTTCCAAATCGGCGGTGTTATCGGGCCAGCCAAACACCGAGAAGGGGAAGAGGCCGGAGCTGAACCATGTATCCAAAACATCTTCGTCTTGTTTGAGGACAATTTTGCTGGCATCTACCTTGAAACGTTCGGCGGCCTTGGCCAAAGCTTCTTCTTGGGTGCGGGCCACAACCCAGTAGGCTTCATCATCGGACTAGAGGATAAAATAAAAACAACTTTAGTAAAAGGCCTCTAAACTTTGAAAACAATATTACCACTTCCAACTTTAGAAAAGCAGGCGTGCAGAAAAATAAATAATTTCATTTAAAATTTTATACATTTTTATATATCCACTTACCGAACCAGCTGCAATTGATGGATCATTAAAGGTAACAAAATATGCTGGAATACGATGACCCCACCACAATTGACGGGACACACACCAATCACGAATACCATCCATCCAGTGATACCAAATCTTGGTGTGATGCTCAGGAATAATCTTAAGTTCACCATTGCGTACAGCATCCGTTGCCTTGGCAGCCATTTCCGAACATTTAACATACCACTGAGGTTTGATCATTGGCTCGACAACATCCTTGGAACGACTGCAGAATGGCACCACCATAGGATTGTTAACAGTTTCACGATACAGACCCAATTCCTTGAGTTTTTCCAAAATCTTCTTACGGCAGATAAAACGTTTCATACCCGTAAATTCACCATAATCACCAATAATGTAACCATCATCATTGAAGATGGTAATGAATGGCAAATTGCAACGTTTGCCAACTTCATAATCGTTGGGATCATGCGCTGGGGTGATTTTCACAGCACCAGTACCAAAGTTCATATCGACAAATTCATCACAAACAATGGGTAGACGTCGCGAACAGAATGGATGTTTGACAAATTTACCATGCAAGTGCTTGTAACGTTCATCATTGGGATGCACGGCAACAGCAGTATCACCCAACATTGTTTCAATACGTGTGGTGGCCACAATGATCTCCTCATCGGAATCTTCAACCTTGTAGGCGAATTTAACTAAAACACCAAACTCCACTTTCTCATCATAACCGGGAATGGCAAAGAATGTACGGCCAGGAATATCAATTTTATCGACTTCAATATCGGAAATGGCCGAACGCAGGGTGCACGACCAATTAACCAAACGTGAGCTACGATAAATGCTACCATCCTCGTGTAAACGAACAAAAGCTTCTGTTACAGCTTTGCACAACTTAGGATCCATGGTGAAGGCAACACGAGACCAATCATATGAAGAACCCAAACATTTCAATTGATCATAAATGCGACCACCTTTTTCACGTCTCCAATCCCAAATTTTTTCAATGAATTTTTCACGACCCAAATCGTGACGTGTTAGCTTTTGTTCACGCCATAAGAGTTTTTCCACTACGACTTGTGTGGCGATACCGGCATGATCACAACCGGGTACCCATAAGGTGGTTTTACCCTTCATACGATTGTAGCGGGTGATGGCGTCTTCAATGGCATTGGTAAGGGCATGACCCAAATGCAGAGAGCCGGTAACATTTGGTGGAGGAATAACCATGACAAATTTACCTTTGGGATTTTCTTCCAAAATGTTGGAACGCTGGAAAAACAAAGAAACAATTTTAGTAGGTTTTTAAGAGAGTTTGGAGATTATTTAAAAATTACTGAAGTGAGTCGAAAGTGTTTTGAAATCAATTGGCATTTTTATTTGCATATGTATTAGAACTTGTGGCTTAATTCTAGTTTATGTCCCGGTTGCAAATAAGTTGTCCTGATTATAGCAATATACTATTCTTTTTGCGAAAATCCATATTTCCAAAGATATAAGCCTCCAAAGGTGACCCTACCATTTTTTAATTATCTAAGGGAATGCGATTATCAATTTAAGGCGGTATAAAAATGTTATCCATACTTCCTGAGATATGGATCTCCAAAAAATATAACATCGTATTCACGGCCTTTAAGGCCATCTGTGGTAAAAATTTCAAAACTTTCTGCCACCAGACCCTAAACAAAAATTTTCCCTTTGAAAAGTCTTTTAAATAGTCCCTGTGTCTTCTGAGGAACCAGAATTATACTTTATTTCTAGTAAAGCAGGGCTGTAGACTGGCCAAAACTATGTCGACTCCGCGTCCCTGATTTGTTCCTCTTTTTCTTTCACTTCAATGTTTATTTACTACAACAAACTTAAAGATTTTATATTCAAAAATGATTTTAAATTGTTTTACTTACACCATATTCAGGCTTGAAGAAACCTTCTTTCTCCCACCAACTATACCATTGGGCCTCTACATAGCCGGGACTGTAGGCATCTGGCAGTGGTCCACTGATATCTTTCATTTCTCCAGGGGCGGTGTTGGCATTGTAAACGGCAGCCTCCTTAGTTTCCTTGGTCTTTTTCTAAAAACACACACAAACATACATTAGCGAATAACAACAACAAAAAGGAATTAACGACAATTAAATAAAAATAATTGTAAAAAATCCATAAACTTTCACTTGAAATTAAACAAAAGCATAGTTGATACACTTTTTTTCGAGTCAGCAATTTGTGTTTTGGTTTTTAAAACCAACAACAACGCCAGCAGCAGCAACGTGATGTTAATACAATAAAGTACCTCTTACTTTTTCTCATTCATGACAAGCACAATAAGCCCCCTTCGCGTTCCACAAGAGAACCTCACCCCGACCACTCTTCTTGCTTGTCCACCATAGGGGGCTGGCTTGTACACTCATCATAATGACATTTTTCTAACCCCATTTCTCGACGTCATTGCATTCAATATTGCCAATATTGCATCAGTAACTTACCTCAGGTTTTTCCTTTTTCTCAGCTGTGGCAGGAGCAGCGGCTGCCTTCTTTTCCAGCTTAGCCTGGAGTTTAGCTAATTTTTCAGCCTTCTTAGCTTCTTTTTCCAATTGTTTTGCGGTCTTTGGTGGCTCACCCTCAGCCGTAGCTGGAGCAGCTTGACCATTAACGTTAGTGGGTTGTTGTTCCTCAGGCATGGTCGTTATCGGGATATGCTAACACTTGATGTGTAGTTTTATTTATCTTTTAGCTAATTTATGTCTACGACAATGCAATCCTCCGCTGCAATTCTATTATTGATAAACACTTGCCGATGAGTCTGTGGAAAACGTGTGCAACTCAGATGTGCCACGATTTGACAATTAGAGTTGGGTAGTTCCGGAACGAACTAGTTCATTGGAACTATTCCGAGAAAGGAACGAACGGAACTAGTTCCAGTTCTTTAATTAATATAATTCCTTTCTCTGATTCAGTTCCTTTTTTGAACTATTTGAAGCAAAGGAACTGTATGGAGCATAGGAACTATAAAGAGCAAAGGAACTATATGGAGCAAAGGAATTATATATGGAAAAACGAAAAAAAGAATGATGAAAGAGAGAGATTCAAAAGAACTATGTAGGAGTCGGAACTATATGGAGCAAAGAAATTGTATGGAGCAAAGGTACTATATGGATCAAAGGAACTATATGGAGCAAAGGAACTATATATGGAAAAACGAAAAAAAAAAATAATAAAAGAGAGAGAGAGATTCAAAAGCACAGTGGGAAGCCTCCAAGACACCAGCCTTCATAAAATTCGCTTGTTAATCGTCGTTCTGCCAAGACTCAAGCGACGTCGTACGCAAACCTTCGCCAACAAATGGTCTGTTCCAGTACTTTTTATACCCTACACCATAGTATGGAGGGTATATTAATTTTGTCATTCCGTTTGTAACTCATCGAAATATTCATTTCCGACCCTATAAAGTATATATATTCTTGATCAGGGTAAAATTCTAAGACGATCTAGCCATGTCCGTCCGTCTGTTGTAATCACTCTAGCGTCTAAACGAATTGAGATAGAGCCCCAAAATTTTGCATATAGTCTTTTGTCTGCAGGCAGGTCAAGTTCGAAGAAGGGCTATATCGGTCCACGTTTAGGCATAGCTCCCATATAAGGGTACCCCCCAATTTTCGGTATTTTGGGGTTCTTGAGCGCGCTTTTCAACCGAATTCGCTGCAATTTTGTACATTGGGTTCATATTGCGTACCAAATATCTCTGTTTTTCTGGTACATTAAAGGCACCCCAAATTTTCGGTATTTTGAAATTTTCAACCGAATTCCCTGAAATTTGGTACAGTGGGTTCATATTGGGTACCAAATATCTCTATTTAAAATTATAAATATCGGTCCACTTTTTCATTTCAAATACCTGTCAGTATACCTGTGGTGGAGGGTATCCAAAGTTCGGCCCGGCCGAACTTAACGCTTTTTCACTTGTTTAATAAAAAGTCTCAGAGTACAAAATAATTTGAAAAGTTCGGGAACGCAAATCTAGTAAATATGTCAACATTAGATGGCAATACTTCAAAATCAACATAACAAAAAGTTTACAAAGAGAAAGGCATTTTGTTTTGTGCTCTCTTAAATTTGATTCAATGCTTTACCAGTTTTATGGGTTCAGTTTTCGAGTAAAAAGTTGCAAAACTTGTAAAATTAGTAGATTCTTTTAGGTTTTGGAACGGAGCTAAAATAAAAACGACGACTGAAAAAATTGAAAAACGTTCCACCTGCTAACGAATGGGAGAAGAAGACAAAATGGCCGATAAAGATGAACTCAAAATGGTATAACCGAAAGTTTACGAATGAGGTGGGATAGAGACTAAATGGAAACCGTGTTGTTTACGAATGACAATGGGGTTTATAGATCGACTTTCGGCCTTATCGATTTATTTACATAATCGAAAGAGAGAGAGTGAAACGATAAGCAATATATAACAGGGTGCTACTGGGTGCAAATAATAAATAACGGTAATACTAATATAAAAAACGGAAATGGATATAAAAATTGTAAATTACGCATCTTTCGGATCCTGATAGTTTTGTCAGTGGTATATATTTTGCCGCTATATCCGATATAACACATGGTGTATTAGCAAATCTGTAAAACTGTGCACACACTAATGGTTTTGGGGTTAACCCCACGAAAACGGTAATGGCACTCTTAACTAGGAGAACTATAATGCAAAACTTCCGTCTGCTTACCTTGAAAACAAATACCTCGGAGCAATTCTTGAACTCAAACTAACATGGAAAAAGAGTGTGGAGGAGCGTACTAAGAGGGTTCTAATAACACTTCCCGCATGCGATAATGCCATAGGAAAGATCTGGGGATAAAAACCGGAAATCGAACACTGGATGTGCCCTACGGCTGTTTTCCCTATACTAACGTATGATGCCTTGTATGGAGGGCAGGTACTTAACAAACGAACGCTATTCACTAAATTTTGCAGTGTCGACATCGCACCTTATATCTGAGTCTCTCAGAAGTAAACCTTAAGCTGCCTTGAACATAATCCTATGTGCCCAGTCCACTGGATACGTTTTGGTTTGTATTCTCGCAACAAAATGTGCTCTGAAACTTAAAGGAACAGGAAAGTGGGGACACTCTCACTTTGGTCATGTTGTCCTATACTTAAAATTATAGGAAATCCTAACGAATATATAGTAATATATTCGTTAGGGATTATATATCAAATTACAGCGACTTCGATAACTTAAACGTAAATATTCGAAATATCGCTCGATGTCACAGTCGTTCAATCTGCAGATTGATGAATATATAAATCAAAATTTTGGTTACTAAATCGGAAAATTCCGCAGGAAATACTGCGAAAAAGCCAGTCAATGATTTGTAGGTGCCAGGGTGCAGAACTTCAAAATCTAAAGATCGATAGATGGTTAGAGAATTTGCGACGTAGAACTATCTCACCGCTTGCATTTTTTGGCGTGGCAGCATCTGGTCGAAGTTTTTCTTCGAGTCAATCCGGTGCATAGAACCTGTTTTAAACATCAGCAGCGTATGCTAGAATTGGTCTAATAATTCTCTTATAGTTCCGGAATATCATATTTAGAAAAAATCCCCCATTTAGAACCTTTCTCCGGCTCTTTCTTCAAATAGACCCGTATCTATGGGCATGTTCAACCCGTAGTGTTTAATATCGCACTCCTTGTCTCGATAATAATATAGAAGCCCAATAGCAAAGAATTGCCCACTCCCTACAAACTGCAGCAAAAGCAACACTTGGGTACCAAAGACAACCATCAAGAAACCCATGGTATGATCAGGAGTTTCGTTATGCCACTGATGTGAAAACGCAGCGTATAGGGCAACCCTGCAGAAAGTAGCAACACGTAATGCAAGAGAGAATTATCGGGAGAAAAGGAGAAACGTATTTTCAGAAAAAAGAAGAAAGAACGAGAAGTACTCGTAAGTGAGCGGAAGGAAATTGAAATGTAAAGGAGTCAGAACGAAGTCGGGAAATTTTACCAACGAATAAAACAGCAAACAAAAGGCTTCAGTGAAGGCGAAAAAGGAAACCTCGTGACAGATACAGACAGCGTGTTGAGAATCTGGAAGGAGCATTTTGAAAAGCTTCTGATTTAAAATATTGGCGGTGAAGAAGTACCTTAGAACCAATAAGTGATGACGGTATAGAGTGTATACCACCTAGAGGTCAGAATAGCAATCAAACGGCTGAGAATAATAAAGCAGCAGTCGAACTAGTGGCCAGATGCTGGTCAGGAGCATGCACCGACTGAAGCCAATGGTCAATGACATTATTGGACCATACCAATACGGCTTCAGACCTGGATTTTCAAAAACATCGTTTAGAGGTGTTTAAAAACATGTCTGCGTTTGGCATTCCTGCAAAATTATTACGGCTGTGCAGGATTTCTTTAACTGGCACAAGGTCAACAGTTGAAGTCGGAAAATTCCTCTCGAAGCCCTTTAATACCGAACTAATGACATTAGTTTTGAAATACGGAGAAGGATAGTGTTGGGAATTAAATAAAAAATTCTCCGAAAGATCTATGGGCGGATCTGCGTCGACGGTGAATATCAGAGTCGAATGAATGGAACAAATGTTCTGTCACAAGCAAGCTAAGTAAGTAAGTAGCCTTTTCATATAATTTTCCTGTCTATGATGTCTACCAGATGTTTTACTCTATTTTATATGGTTGTTTTGGACGATGGACATTTCATACTGATCTCCATTTTGTTCAGATTCACGTCAAAGGCTAGTCGACCTCTTCTGCATAACAGACAGGTTCAAATCCTTTTTCGGTTAAGGTCTTTAATAGACTATTAATAGTTGTGACCCACCGGAGTTTTAACATTATTTCACCCTGTGAATAGTCTGCAACAATCTGTGAACAGTCTTTATTTCAAGTGGCTTTGAAGAGGTTTTGCCTTCCGTCAGATACCATTGAAGTTGCCGGAATTTCTGCGAGCCCCCTTCCTTCTGGCTCGATATGCCGCTCGATATGTGCTTCTGTATTGTTATAAACTCAAGTGGCTGTCTTTTTTGAGATCTTGACGGGTGTAGCCACACTACACGATGTAGGAATACTTCCGATTTAATGTTCCCTAGTTGCTTTCTGAAGGTATTCCCCGTACTCACGGCTTTTAGATGTTTCCTGATCAAAATAAATTCCCTATCGCTGATTTTTTTTTTTTGGGTCTTGATCGACGTAATTTGGAATTTCCATTCTTGACTGCCTTGTCTTCCTAGGATCTGATTCATCAGGGGAGGATTGGTTAATTTAGTCACCTCGTCATTGACACTTGGTAATTTCCTCCCAGGCAATAAATATATTGGTCTTCCCACTATCCACAACCTGCCGCATTCAGCTATGTTTATAAAATGTTTTGTGACCCCCAACAGATGATTGCCTGAGATTAAATCCGCGATAGGCGAATATAATAATTTCTTTCATGCCAAATTAATTCTTCAATTCTTTTCAATTATTGTTACAACAATTATCCATTTGAAAATTACATTGCAATGTATAATTGCCGACGTTCCAGGAGTTTTGAATTCGCGTGACATGCAACACTACAAACTATGAAAATAATGAATGAATTCATTGAACCAACATGCTCATGCTCCCACCAATGGAATGCAAACAAATAACTAACTCGCTCCAAAAGCTTCCACAAGGATATTTTGTTTGTTTACCAACAAACATTAAATTGTTTGTGGCGTTTTCATTCCACTTGCCACATTTCTAGAAGTTCTCTTCACACTCTCATAATTGGTACTCTTGGCAACCTATATTGTTATGGTAGCAGTTATGAATAAGTTGGGCGCCATAAGGGATGGTTTTATATAGCAATTCAATGAAAAAATAACTTTAGTCGGTTTTTTGCATTACAAGAGAAAAGTATCTACTATTTTCGCGGAATTAAAAATTAAAAAGAACAATGTCCTATACAGCTCGTCCAAATTACAAACGTTCTTTGGAACATAATTTTGATTGTTGCATTGCATCCCGAGAACCCTATCGTTATCGTTCAAAATCTGCAAATCCACCCGTTGGAAATAAAATTCTTTATACGGCACCGGTTTCGGCGGCGAAGACGCGTTATGTTCCACCGTTTTCTATACAAACACAGCAACGGAACACAAAAGTTGTTGATGCTCCCTTGGCAAAAGGACCATCATCGGGTAGTGCAAGTGCTCGAGGAAAAACGGATCAGAAAAGTAGGATTTTGTTTGTGACCTATTAATTGGTCTGTTCCGTTACTACAGGAATCTACTAATTTTTACTATTTTGTTCGATATAATAAAAAGGAAAAACATTTCGATTCTTGTAGTAGGGAAACATAGCAAATATGTTAGTGGTAATTTGTATTTTTCCATTTCGCCCATCATAGCCATTCGTTTGTCGGTGACGAAAGTTAAATTGGGCTCTGGTCATGATTTAAGTAAACCCCATCGTAGTTCATCATTCCGAATGTATTTCGATCGTGGTGATTTACCAATTAAAATGGAATATTTATGTGGTGGCGATAAAATTGGTTGGACGGTAAGTAAATACATAGGTGGACAAAAGTCATCGTCATTTGAAAATAAAGGAAAAAAGAATTATATTTAAAAATAATTATTATTTATTTAAATCCTATTCATAAGGCTACATTAATGATGAATACATTGTTGGCTGGACAAAAGTCACCGTAATGTAATAAAATACTTTGTCAATTTATAATCTTAAATTATTTGTTTAGATATTCTTTAAGAATATTTAAATAAAGCACTTTGTCCATCATTTCATCCATAAAGACGACATGCATCCCCATACCAGCACCACAGTTGTTTGTACGAGTACGTACTTTTCTGCTAATGCTTCGCGTTTCTGCTAAAATTTAATCTCATCAGAGAAGATAATTTTTTCCCAGAAGTCTATTCCCTTGCTTAGATGATCTTTTGCGAAGGAAATGCGCATCGTTTGTTGATCTTGCTGATCTGCGTTTTTTCGGCACACTCTGTCACTGTATACAGCGGAATTTAAAGCCTCTGCGTACAATAATTGGGTGAACATCTGTACCAATGATCTCCTTTATATCTGCAGCTATTTCTGCTGACGGAGTTTTGGTCTTTTTTTAATTATTTTCATTATTTCACGCTTTTTTGCGAACTGATAATGCAGGCTGTCGTCCTTGGCAGTTATTTGCACTCTGGATCATCTTAAAATCTTTTTATTATTCCAGTAATAGTGGTACATGGACGAGTAACTAATGAACATATCTCCTGAACGGTCTTGACTTGCTTGTACACATTTAAAATTATTTTTCTTTCTTCAATCGTAGTTTCTTTCCTTTTTGGGTTAATTTTAAACAATTAACCGACGACTGTCAACCGAAGCAGGCTTCGCCCAGCTTTCTCCACGTTAAAACATGTCCGTCGGATTTATAAATATAAAATTTAGTCTTATCAGAGATTACTTTTTCCCAGATATCTATTCCCTTACTTAAATGATATTTTGCGAAGGAAAGGCACTTTGTTTGGTTGATCTTGCTGATCTGTGTCGTTTTCAGCACACTCTGGCACAGTATAAATTTAGGCCATCTGTACCAGTGCTCTCCTTTCTGCTATTTCTGTTGACGATGTTTTATTCCCTGTTTTTAATGTCCTTTATCTCTGGGTCATATATAAACTTTTTTATTATCCCAGTAATAGTGATACGTGGACGAGTAACTAATGAACATATCTCCCGAACGGTCTTGCCTTGCTTGTACGCATTTAAAATTATGTTTCTTTCTTCAATCGTAGTTTCTTTCCTTTTTGGATTCATTATTTTAATTATTTTTAAGTATCGTTTTAAAATTCATGATTCTTAAAGTTATCATATTTAACGAAATCACAAAAAAGGAGACACATTGACTTACGTTTCTGTTAAAATTAGTATTTTTTAAGGTACTTTCATAAGGTACTACATGTAGGCGGTGGCTTCTTCTGCAAAAATATAGAATAAGTATACTCAAGAAGTGGTTGTGTTTATTTGATATTTTTTAAACACATAACTAAAAACGCGAAAAATGAACGAAAGTTTATGATTTCTTTCCAAAATCCAGTAGGGAATACCATGAAATATTTGTTTCATCCATAAGAAAGTAATTACTTCCAGACGGAAGTGTTAAAAACATAATTTTCATTTCAATTAAATTTGAATATTTTTTAACTTATTTTAAAAATTTGAATATTTTTTAATTTATTTTGAATTTATTTGACATAGTATTCAAAACAAGTTTCCCTCATATTTTGCCTAGCAGCCAGATGCATGATAATACAGTATTCCCCGCTTAATTACCTCCACGCTTAATTACCTTCCACGGTTAATTAATCCGATTTCAGAATACCCAGTTATTTTCAGTACAATCCCTTATAAAATTGCACGTTTAATTACCCCCTTTTAACCATTTCATTTATTTGCCCCTAAATAACCTACCCCAAAGTAATCGTACCTTTAAATCTGTCCCATGTAATTACCCAAGGTATTTTTTTAAAATCTGGCAACTGCACTTAAAATGTCTCACATTTGCTAGTGCACTTGTCACACATAAAATCTATTGTTTTGAAAGTTTTCGTGAAATGTCTCCCAGAAATACATCTTTGTCTATCAAACTAAAGCTCCAGTTAATATCTCAAGCAAAAAAGAAAGAAAAAAAAAACACCAGTGTCCACCGATATTTACCCTTGCTGGGTATTTAACCGGGGTCCACGGATAATTACGAGATAAATAATCGTGCTCGCTTAATTACCTTCCAAGGATAATTACTCAAAAATCTTGAAATTTTCACTGAGGTAATTAAGCGGGGTATACTGTATTACCCTCTCACTAGAATACTCACAACAGGCATGCTTACCCATATACGCTACCGTAACTGAGGGTCGATGGGTAAACACATTTTCTCTTTCTCTCTCCTTACGTCAGTCGTTTCTAATGGTGAATTCTCAGTTACGCTCGCACACACTTGCTCTCAATTTAATTTTGCCCAACACTGACTCACAAAGATCTTTCTTCTCGCTATCCATCACCCTCAAAGTTCATTATCATTCAATGCTTCAATCTATGACACACTTTTCATTAATCTCAAAGTTCATTACCCGCAATGTTCATCAATATTTAAATTTATGGCCTATTTTCCAATTACATCGTCTAATATTTATTGACTAAAACCGTTTTTGTTGACTAAAATTGTTTTTAATAGCTTTTTTAGCTATAAATGTGAGCTAAAAGAGCCAATTAGATGCTACTGGAATTGCTTTTGAACGGACTTGATGAGATCGCTGTGTGTTATATATCGTTAGCTAAAATGCAAAAAGGCGTAACTAAGAAGAAATGGAAAATTGAAATAGACTTTGTAAACATGTAGTTTATTGACATTCACAATATTCATTCAAAAAATCAATTTTCAATTTTTTTTGTTAGTTACGCCTTTTTGCATTTTAGCTAACGATATATAGGATCCCATATGAGCGAAGAGTATTCTACTGTAGGGCTAATGAGCGTTGTGCATAACTTTTTTGTGACGTACGGATCCGTGAACTTCTTACTCCAACGTTTAACAAACCGAAGCATTGACTGGCTTTGTTTATTGTTGCTGATATGTGTGAATTAAAATTCTGTGTACAATCCCATAGAACTCCTAGATCCACAAACGTATTAACACTTAATTTAACACTTTCTTGTAAATCTCGTGGGTTTGCATTTCTAGTAATTTATTTATATTGGTAGACGAATTCAAATCATGGTATAACAATTCATTATTTGAGATGTCGGAAAAACTGAGGAATAATTTCACATCGTCGGCATTCATCAGGATATTAGAAAATTTATTGTTTGAGGTAATTTATGAATGAAAAAATAGAAGAGTTTTAATCGTAACATCCTTGTAAACAGTATCGGTTTGCATTCATCGAAGAAATCCCCGATTTACTATGGTAGAAGAAAGTTCGTTTCTGTGAAACAATTTTTTCTGAAATCCGTGCTGATAGGGAGATGTAAGAGAACTCTCTGCCAAAATAAATATTTGTATGACCTTCACAAATGTAATTTGTTTGGTAACAGTGATATCATCTACACCATCTAACGACTATCCTTGACATAAAAATATTGTTTATTTGTTGATATAAAAGTTTCAAACGTTTTATTATCCAAACAGGAAACAGCATCGAGTGTCATAGACTTCACACTAGCACCTTTGCCAAAAATATATAAACCAACACAACAATTGAACACGAAACAAATGTTTGGAATATTTGGATTTGCAAATTGATTTTCAACATTTGCCAAGAATTCTCATGTCTTGATTGATTTGTGATTTACTAAAGAGAATTAATAAAAATACATACATATAATAAACATACACACTCCTACTAAGCTATTTAGCATTTGGCATGCACAGATAAAAGGACATATTATTCAAATAACAAAAACTATCACCAAAATAAAAATGATGTGTATTCTTGTACCAGGTGATGAATATAGCAGCTGTACCGACAACGATTGTACAAGCGTTTTTTTATAATAAACGTTACCTGTCAAATATATTGATTTTATTTATTAGATTTGAATTTATATTATTGTAGGTGGTAATAGAAGGTAGGATATCTTGAAGAGATTAAACAAATTGCAACTCTGTATGTATTAGCTCCTTCCGTCAAACATAAAGTAATAAACGCAGCATGTTGTTGCATACACAAAATATGTATTTTGATTTGATTTGGATACTTTGCCCTAACTTGTAATAATTATACCATGATTGAATGACTTGTATTTTCCTTCTTCAGGTTGATATTGACAAATTGGACTACAGCCTTTATTTGCCATTGTTTTTCGACGGTCTCTGTGAAACTGAACATCCGTATAAAACCTATGCTCGCCAAGGAGTATCCGACCTCTTATTAGCTGGTGGAGATAAAATAGCACCCGTAATACCACAATTGATTTTACCCTTAAAAAGTGAGTATAAATCCATAATTATATTATTGTTAACCGCCAGAAGGCCTTTGTCAGGAATCGTCAAATTCTTGGAATTCGCCATTTGATTACAAAATGCATAATATGATTTAGAAAAAAGTTCACAGTTATTCAGAAGACTAGTGATTAAAATTCAGATGATGCATCTTCGAAATCCTTACTGAATAAGCTTGTAAACTTTCGGTATCACAACAGTTCGCTCCATCCATATCGTATACGTCACGATAATCCTGTTCATCCAGACGTATACGCTATGGAATGGAGATTTTATTAAATCATATTTTCAACTCGATTTTGAAAATAAAACCTGACATTCCATTAATTTTTCGCTTTTTTTGTTAAATGTCAGATGAACAGAACAAATTAGTTCCGTTCCAGAACCTAAAAGAATCTACTCATTTTACATGTTTTGCAACTTTTTACTCGAAAACCGTTCCTCAACCCACAAAACTGGTATAACATTGACTCAAATTTAAGAGAGCACAAAACAAAATGGCGTTCTCTTTGAAAACTTTTTACTCGAGAAATTTGGTCGAGTAAAAATGGTAAACAGAAATGCCTACTTCTGATTGGCTGTTATGTTGATTTTGAAGTATCGCCATCTAATTTTTGCATATTTACTAGATTTGCGTTCCCGAACTTTTCAAATTATTTTGTACTCTGAGAGCAATTTTGAAATATTTCCCTTTTACTAGATTTACTATTACCGTAACTCAATAACTACTGCACCGATTTTGACCAAATTTTGTGTATATCCTCGATGGGGCGTGAGGAGTGTTTCTGTTTAATCTTAAGTTCATCCGACAGATGGCGCTCTATATAGCTTCTTTATGTTTTCCCGAATAGAGATTGGGTGCTTAATCGGCGTGTGCAGACGTTAAGTATTCCGACACCTATTCATACATAATCTGTTTTCGTGTAAAGCGCGTGGGAGTCTACCGAAAAAATTATAACTTATAAAAATGAAGTAGAATTCATTGAAATCTATTTAAAACTATTATGTAAGAAGGTATAGTAACTTATCAGTAGAGAATGGCGGGACCGATTTTGCTCAAAATTTCTTTCAGTTATCTGTAATTGAAATGAGAAGGTTTTTATGAAAACAATTTTGAGAAAAATTCGCGAAAATCTTATTTTGAAGGACGGCTGACCGACAATTTATATTATTTTTATAGCCTTCACCACACTGTGGTATAGGGTATTAGGGCTTTGTGCATATGTTTGTAACAGGCAAAAGGAAACAAGATAGTCACATGGTTCCTTTTGAGAATATGCATAGAATCACTTTTTAAATCGATTTATGCATGCCCGTCCGTCTGTCTGTCCATGTTAAATTTTAAACAAAGTACAGGTCGCATTTTTGATTCGAATTGAATGAAATTTGGCACAACTCATTTATTTGGCCCAAGGACGAACCCTATTGGGAAATATCGGGTCAGATTTAGACACAGCTCCCATATATATTTTCGTCTGATTTTATGTAAATTGGTACACTAAATTAAGTCTAGCACGATGTGTGTTAAATTTCATGAAAATCGGTTCAGATTTAGATATAGCTTCCATATATATTTTCGTCCGATTTTAGGTAAATAGTGCACCAAAGTCCCTATATATCCTTCGATTTGCACGAAATTTGGCACATCGTACTGAATTAAGTCTAGAAAAATGTGTATAAAATTTCATGAAAATCAGTTCAGATTTATATATAGCTCCCATATATATTTTCGTCCGATTTTATGTAAATGGTGCACCAAAGTCCCTATATATCCTTCGATTTGCACGAAATTTGGATTTATAAGTAAATGAAGAACTCAAAATGTGGCCGAATGTACAAAACATACTGAAATAGGTGTAACCTGGCATGTGACATGTTTCGATGAAATCGGTTCAGATTTCTATATTTTGCTTTAAATTTATTTACATAATTTTGTTTCATTGTAAGAAGCAACTCTATATCTGTCCATTTAGTATTGATTGCAGAATGACATGTTTAATTTCATGTAAATGGTCCTTAAGAAATGCGACGTCTGTTAGGATTCCATATCATAAAGTCGCCCCCGTCCGACTTTACTACTTTCCTTACAGGTTTTAAGTATATTAGGGTTTTTGGGATCGAGAAATTAATTTCAGATCTTTATTTTTACCTATGACCACCGCCAGTGAGCGTTTTATACATATTTTTACTATTTTTCGTCTAATTTCTGCAACGAAAAATATCTATTTTCTGAGACGAAAAATAGTTAAAACATGGCCTATAAATAAGGTCACCAAGATAGCAATCGAAATCGGAAAACAGCTGTTTTTTCTCAAGTCTAATGTCAAAAATTTCGACTTTGTTTACGTTTTCATAATGGAAGTCAATTCACAATAATTAATTTTGACAGCAAACTTGAGAGGTATCGATAATCAGCTGGTATCCCTTGGTGACCTTATTTATAGGCCATGAGTTAAAATATGCATGAAACGCCCTCTGGCGGTGATCATAGGCAAAAAATCAGAAATGAATTTCTCGATCCCAAAAATTACCCAAAGATAATATAACGATGAATAAAAAATTGAAGTTAGAATCAAAATGATGTTATATATAAATGGGAGACTCGAAAATCGAGATGGACCTATGGTTCCTTCACCAAAGTGGCTTAAAATTGTCCATAGAATCATCCTAGGGATTTAATCGACAACAAAATACATAGTTTGTTATGTCTTTCATGATGTGACAAGGCACATTTTCCATCGGTTGTTTTTAATTGCAGTGGGAAGAGTTTTTGGGTGGCGTAGGGGATGATGATACCAAGCAACGGCTCTGATTGGCTTTAACATGGCGAAGCCCAGGCTTATCTTGGTCCTTCTTTCATCTCAATTGTGTACACTGACCTCCCCGCGGTGCCACCTGGGGAGCTATTATCATCACCCGATGAAATAGTGAGCTAACATGTGCCGCGAGTTCACCCATAAGAACTATAAAAAAAATGGGTTGAGGCGTCGGGTTAGTTGCCCACCCTCGGAAAACCCAACCTACTATGAAAAAGCAAAGAAAAAGAAAACCAAACCCCCCTAATGTTGACGACCCCCGCAAACGTATAAAGGACCACGATCTGCGAATCTGCACTTGGAATGTGCGCACGTTGTACAGAACAGGGGCAGTGTTCGCTTTGGCGGATATACTCAAGAAGTACAAAGCCGATATTATTGCCTTACAGGAAATGCGATGGAAAGGGACAGGCGTAAGTAAATCAGACGATTACGCCCTGTATTATAGCTGCCATGAAACGAGACATGAATTTGGCTGCGGATTTATGGTTAACAGGAGAATAAAAGACCTTGTCTCCAGATTCACTCCAGTAGATGAGCGAATTGCTATAATCCGTATAAAAGCGAAGTTCTTTTACATCAGTCTAATTTGCGCCCATGCTCCGACCGAAGAAAAAGATGAACAGACCAAAGACATATTTTACGAGCGCCTAGAAACAGCCTATGACCGTTGCCCTGGCCATGACATTAAAATTCTGCTAGGAGATTTTAATGCAAAAATCGGAAGGGAAAATATCTTTGGCCCCACCGTCGGAAAATTCAGCCTTCATGAAGAAACATCCGACAACGGCATGAGGTTGATTGACTTCGCGGCAGCAAAAAACATGGTAGTTAGCAGCACCAGATTCAAGCATCTCGATATACACAAGGCCACCTGGATTTCTCCTGATCAAGTAACGAGAAATCAAATTGATCATGTTGTGATAGACGGAAGGCATTCATCCAGTGTTTTAGACGTCCGATCGATCCGAGGAGCGAATATCGATTCGGACCATTACCTTGTGGCAGCCAAGGTACGCACCCGTCTTAATGTTGCAGCAATGGTGCGATCTAATACAACACGGAAACTCGACGTCGAAAAGCTGCAAACACAACAGGTAGCCGAGGCCTACTCCGCACTTCTTGTCCCGATAATAGTATAGAAGCACAATGGCAAAGAATTGCCCACACCCTACAAACTGCAGCAAAAAGAACAATTGGGTACCAAAAACCACCACCAAGAAACCCATGGTACGATCAAGAGTGTCGTAATGCTACTGATGTGAAAAACGCAGCGTATAGGGCAACCCTGCAGACAGTAGCAACACGTTACGTGATGGAGAATTATCGGGAGAAAAGGAGAGAGGAGAAACGTGTTTTCAGAAAAAAGAAGAAAGAACAAGAAAAACGTGAGCGTGAGCAAATCGAGATGTACAGGAGTCAGAATGAAGTCCGGAAATTTTACCAACGAGTAAAACACCAAACCGAAGGCTTTGGTGCAGGCACATCCTCCTGTAGAGATGAAGAGGGAAACCTGGTGACAGATACATACAGCGTGTTGAGGATCTGGAAGGAGCACTTCGAAAAGCTACTAGTATCAAATAGTGGCGATGAAGAAGATACCCCAGAACCAATAAGAGATGATGGTATAGAGTGTATACCACCTAGCCAAGATGAGGTCATAAAAGCAATTAATCGGCTCAAGAACAACAAAGCAGCAGGAGCCGATGGGTTACCAGCCGAACTATTCAAGACTGGTGGCCAGATGCTGCATGCACCAGCTGATTAACACAATTTGGCTAGATTAATGCATGCCCAATGATTGGAACCTCAGCATCCTGTGTCCCGTGCACAAAAAAGGAGACAAGACGATATGTGCCAACTATAGAGGAATAAGTCCCCTTCCCATCGCATATAAAGTGCAATCCAGTGTGCTGTGTGAACGATTGAAGTCAATGGTCAATGACATCATCGGATCATACCAATGCGGCTTGGGACCTGGCAAATCCACCATTGACCAGATTTTCACTCTGCGCCAAATCCTGGAAAAGACCCACGAAAAACACATCGACACATACCACCTATTTGTCGACTATAAAGCCGCATTCGACAACCCTATCCGTTCAGAGGTGTTTAAAGCCATGTCTGCGTTCGGCATTCCTGCAAAATTAATACGGCTATGCAGGATAACTTTAAGTGGCACAAGGTCAGCCGTTACAGTAGGAAAGGACCTATCGGAGCCCTTCAATACCGAACGAGGATTCAGACAAGGTGACAGTTTGTCGTGTGATCTTTTTAACATCCTACTGGAAAAGGTCATACGAGACGCAAAGGTGAACAGAAATGGCACTCTGTACACCAAACAACATCAGTTACTCGCCTACGCCGATGACATCGATATAATGGGTCGAACATTGCGAGCGGTAACAGCCACCTTTGAACAAATTGAAAATGAGTCTGCCAAAGTGGGTCTGGCAGTAAACGGCGAGAAGACCAAGCTGATGGTATCAACGCGCAAGACGTCCAGTAGACTCGAACTTGAGAACTACAGCTTCGAGGTAGTTAAAGACTTTATATACCTTGGTACCGCCATAAATAAAATGAATAATATCAGTTTTGAAATTCGGAGAAGGATTGTGATGGCCAACAGATGCTACTATGGTCTAAGTAAGCAGTTTAGAAACAAGGCCACCTCTCGCCAGACCAAACTCACACTTTACAGGACGCTGATACTACCCGTGCTATTATATGGATCAGAAGCATGGGTACTTGCGCAAGCAGATGAGGCAGCGCTTAAGGTGTTTGAGAGAAAAATTTTCCAAAAGATCTACGGGCCGATCTGCGTCGACGGTGAATATCGGCGTCGAATGAACCACGAGCTCTACAATTTATACGCGGACATCGACATAGTCAGTCGTATTGAGCTGCAGCGACTACGGTGGCTAGGCCATGTTGTGCGGATGAATGAAGATGCCCCAGCTCAAAAGGCATATAAAAATGAGCCTACTGATGGTTCCCGTAGAAGGGGAAGGCCACGAATTAGATGGAAAGACCAAGTAGAAAACAACATCTTGGAATGTGGTCTTCCAAATTGGTGGACTTGCGCACAAGACCGACGCGCTTGGAAATCTTTTTTAAGCTCGGCTTATGGAACAACCGTTCTGTAACAAGCCAGCTAAGTAAGTAAGGGAAGAGTTTTACCAAAGAAAACTTTAAGAAAAACATAAAAAAGTTAGAGATTGGAGTAATCGAATGTTGTGTTACATTACACCTCTTATAACTCAAGAACATCTGCACCAATTGTGATGATTCAAAGGACTCATAAATCGTATGTGATCATAATAGGAATAAACTGAAATACCACACGAACTGAAATACCAAATATATATCTTGTTTGAAAGCGAAAATTGTACCCTTCGAAAGAAAAAAGGAATAATATAAACCCGTTATAAAGTAACTAAGTTATTCAAGTTTAAAATGGAAAATCAATGAAACCACGTTTTTCTCTATATTTACCGTTATAAAATTAATTTTCGAAGTGACCCAGAAAAACCAAAGGTATTTTCGTGGTCCAGGGACTCCAACTAAACAAAATTGGTACATTAGAACCCCTGAAAAATTTTCGTGTCGCACAGTGTTATTTAACCATGGTTGTTACATCTTATATTTATAAGTTTAGGAGGCAGGAAACTTCCAAATATTTATAAATATAATTGATTTAGCTAATTGTGCCACTGAACACACGATATGCGTATATTTCGAAGGAAGATATTTTCATTTAAATTTTGAAACTAAATGCTGCGAATGGCAAATTTATGAAAAAATTAGAAATACATGACTGCATGAGACTACCTTGTATAATTATGCCATGAAATTTATTCATGTTGTTAAAATTTATTTATTTTCAATTGTTAAGGATAGGACAAATTTCTTGGTTATTCAGAGAGTGATTTGAATTTAACAATCTACAAAAATCAGTTTTCGCTCAGAAAATTGTGTATACTATTTATTAGATCTAGCCAACTTTATGGGAATTTATTTGGCATATATGCAATGGAATTGTCAATTTAAAACCACTGGGTTAACGAAATCCGGTACAAAGAAAAAGTACTATAATCATTTCATAATTAGGATCGAACAAAGAATGAGGGTTCACATGGCGTAAGAATTATGTATATACAAACAAATATAGGGTCTGTTCCTACTTGGAAGTTCTGGAACACACATATAATTCGACATATGGTCTGTTCCCGTACTGCAAGAATCTACTACTTTTTACTACGATAACAAATTTTCCTTTATGATATCGAAGAAAATAGTAAAATCTAGTAGATTCTTGCAGTACGGGAACAGATCAATAATATAATTCAACTGCAAAGACAGACGGACATGAATAAATCAACACACAAGAATAAATTATATATTTTCGGTGAATATTTCGAGGTGGTATAAAACTGTATGTGTGTAAAATCATTTGTCTCTATAGACAATCCGATCCATTACTTCATATATATATATATATATATATCGACCTCCATTAAAAGGAAACACAACCCAATACCAATATCGACACTCCTCAATACTTACCAGTACCCTTGGACATTCTCACGGTAATTTTATTCATGTTTGAGTCTTTAATATTTAACTGTAATTCTTCCGAGAGAATAATATTTATTTACTGAGTCGGACTCCAATTAGTATGAGCTTTTGCGAAAGGCATCTGACTTTCTGATTCTTGTCAGAAATTTAAGAACTTTCCTGATATTTTCCGGGCATGTAGGCCTACTACCATAGCTTGTCCACGCTCCCTTCTTCAGGTTACATTCAACAATAACCGTCTCACAAATTCCGATGAACTCTTAAATTTGTTGATAAGTACGAACTGATGTTCTTTTGGAGCCTTCCACCGTACTGAACCAACTTATAATTCCAGAAATCACTAATTTAAGCATGAAATATTTTTCCGAAATCATTTTCTGTGATAATATTTTCACAATCACTGGTAATTAGTAATTAAACGGAGTAATGTATTTGTTTCTAATCATTTTTATATTTTTTGGCAGTAGTCAAAATTGAAAAGCAGATACATGCTATTGTAATAAAATCCATTTAAAAATGATCAATAAGAATCGAAACAGGTGTAGAAACCAAAACATAGTACTAATAACGGTAAAAATAACTAAAATTTTAGAGCTCATCTGTTTAGTTTTATCCAAGCAAAAATTGAGACAATTCCCTTATCCATAAATTATTTTTAATTTCATAATTACTTTTGCATTAATGCTTTTGTTTTTTTTTTTTTAAGTGGATAAAGTACCCAATTTAAAACTGAAAAAGCCAACACGATATCTTTATTTTAGTTTCTTTCGTTTTGGCCACTAATGTGTATTCAATGTAAACGAACGCCCGTTACCGCAATATGTTATCAAAATCATATGTTTTCGAAACTTAAGCTTTGCACAAATTGTTAAGCATTACTGCATCATTTAATACTCTGCATATATTACAAACCCTGCATACAATACAAATACCACATTCTGCAGTGGTGGAATGCAATTAAACTTAAAGTAACACCCCTTTGGAAATGGAAACAATATCATTTGAAAACTGATTACTTGAAACTCTGCATGAAACAGAGCAAGTATATGAATCCTATTTTAAACATGAAATTGGAAAACAAACAATTGGAATTCATTTTCAAGATATTTTCCTAATTAAATAAAATTATAAGAATGGGAAAAATTAGCGTTTTATATAATTATATGAATAAATAATATCCTATTACAGAAACTCATTTTATTGTTCCATTAAAAATAAAAAAATGTTTAATTCATTTCATTAGACATCACGTTGTTTTGCGTCTATAATATGAATTATCATACTCAATTTCTTACTAAATGTTTTGCATAATTTAATTTTATATGATATTAATTTTAATTAATATAATAAAATTTTATTTTCTTCTATCAATTTAATTTTAGATGCCCTAAGTACGAAAAATTTGGAAGTCATGTGTACAACATTGAAGATCATACAACAATTGGTATTATCATCAGATCAAGTTGGTCCAGCACTTGTGCCATTTTATCGGCAATTGTTGCCAATGTTTAACGCCTACAAAGTTAAAAACTGTAAGTAGTTTTCGATTTAATAACCACGTTTTAAATTTAATACATCAAATCAATAATTTTTCTTTATCTAACAGTAAATTGTGGTGATGAAATCGACTATGCCCAAAAGAATAACATGAATCTGGGAGATTTGATTGACGAAACATTACAGGTTCTTGAGCTACATGGTGGTGAAGATGCTTTTATTAATATTAAATATATGGTTCCAACATATGAATCGTGTTATTTGAATTGAATTTGTTACAGTTTTATTTACTTATTTTTTAAATAAAGTTTTAAAAAAACGTAAACCAATTTTATTTCCTTCCACAAATTGTTTCTGTGTTTATTTAGACATTAAATGTGTTTCAATAAAATGAGATATTTACACCCATGGTACAATAATACAAGGTAGGACAGCTTAAGGTGAATAACAAAAAAGCAACTATATGAAAGGTTATAATTTATTCCCAAAATCCTGTAGGGAATACCATGAAATGTTTGTTTCATCAACCAAAAAGTAATTACTTCCTGTCGGACGCGATAAAAAATCATTTTCATTTCAATTAATTTTGAATATTTTTAAATTTTTATTTGAATTTATTTATTTGACATGGTATTCAAAATGATACACACACATACACAAATATGTATTTTGATTTAATAGAACAAGCCACCTTGAGAATCGTAATGAGCAATTTCGATAGCTTTTGACCATAGCCATATTTTCCGGTCTAAAATTTTACAAAACACAAACATGATGGCCGTTTACTTAATGACATTAGAGATTTTTACCGGTTTTACTATTTTATGAGAATTTTTTGACAATATAAATCCACTGGGTTAACGAAATCCGGTACAATGTAAACGTACTATAACCCCATATTGGTGGTTTGGAGTTTTGTTCTCATATTTACTTTCAAATATTATTCTTGATACGGGAGAATTGCTATTATTATTATTATAAAAGGTAACAGCAAGTCTCAGCTGATTTGATTCCAACGTAATACTAGTGCCAATATGAATTTGACAAATTATGTTTTTAAAAATCACCCAACAGGAAAATTGGGAACGCATACAATTTGTAATTGTTCTTTATTAAATGTGCTCCCGTATTCAACTTACTCAATCTGCCTGCTGGGAAAGTTTGAGGAAGCAAATCTTTCTTCAAGGAACAACTCGCTATTCCCTGCATTTTCATATGTGTTACACATATATATCGCAATGGCTCAATTATAGGAAAGATGTGGAAGCGATAGAAATATAAATTTGATAGATTTTCATTAATGTTTTTCAATTTTTATTTTGAGGATTCGAAAATATTTCATATTCAAAATAAATATAATTTGTTTGTTTAAATTTTTCTGTCAAATGATGTTGACACTAGTAGAACTTACAACAACAAATTTCCATGTGGTTGTTGTATCGTTTTTTGTACAACAACACTTGCTGTTACCTTCTATTAGTCTTGATTTAGATTAGACGAATTTACTTGCGGCAATTCTTGTCGTTCTCTTTTGAACTTGCTTCATGCGTTTATACAAGGCAATTCGGTTTCCAAAATATGTTTCTATTTGTTGCTTTTTCACATTTAAATCTATATAAAATGTCAACAAATACGAAATACACAAAACGAATTGCCAGAAAATTGTCGGTACGAGCAATTTTTTTTCATTTCTATTCCCCTTGCCCCTCTCTCCTACAAACAAAGACTTGCCGCAAGTAAACTCGCCTAATCTAAATCAAGACTTATTATACCATGCTATTACACCTGTTTTTTCTCGCACCTACAGAAACCTACTTCGGCGATAACAAACTATCGACATTTGTTGTGCAAAAACAATATCGATTATCTGTCATACCTATTTCAGCAGCATTGGCCATCGGCACTAGGGAATGTTATTAAATAACATTTTCCAATAATTTTCAATAAAAATGAATAATTTTGTGAAAATATTGTAAGTATATGTCATGGAAATGTTAAATTCTATGGGTCACCTTCAATGTCTACACTTTTTCTTTTAGTTTACCCCGCGTGGTGGTGGCCAGACAGATGTCGGCCTACCCAAAGCATTATGTCGAACCAATTTTCACCAAAGAAGCTCAGCTGGCCGCTAAAGAACAAGATGAATACAATAAATTGTTGCACGTTCCAACGAAAGCCACCAAAAACGATGAATCTTTGTCGGTGTTCTACAATCCATTCGTTCAGAAAATCATCAACTACATGACCTATGGCGGTAACAAGAAATTGGCTCGTGAACTATTCGATCGTAGCATGGAATGTGTTAAACGCACTCAAATCGAAAGAATCAATTTGGGAAAATTGGAAGGTGCCACCGCAGATCCATATGCCCTATTGGTACAAGCCATTGAAAATAGCCGACCCCTGTTGCAGTTGACCGCCATTAAAAGAGGTGGTGTCACCTATCAAGTGCCGGTACCCATAACCGAAAAACGTTCATACTTTTTGGCTATGAAATGGTTACTGGAAGCTGCACGTGAAAAGGAACGAAAAGTACATTTCCCGGAGAAATTTGCTTGGGAAATTCTTGATGCTGCCTACGGTCAGGGTAGAGTGATAAAGAAGAAAAATGATTTACATAGGCAAGCTGAAAGTAATCGGGCATATGCTCATTATAGATGGAGTTAGATGTATGTTTTTTATTTACAATAAATTCGTTAATGTTTTGAAAACAAAATAATACCCAGATTAGTTGTATATTTTAATTAAAGGTTACTAATTGAACATTTTGTGGTTGGGAGTCGAGCAATTTTAGGATAGACTCGACCCCGAACATTAATTATAATATGGACCTATATTGAAAAAACCAATAATATTTTTACCCTCTTAGAATCCGGAATACCATATTACCCTTATATGGACACGATTTCAAAACGTTCTCCCATAACATCAGAATGCCAAACTAACGTCGGTTAAAAAATGGGACCAAAAAAGCGGTGTGACTGTATATGGAGGTTATGACAAAATATGAATTTATATCGGAAAATGTTTGCAAATATGCTTTTTGGCAATTTAAGAACGAACCGCTAATTGGAATAATCGGATTATACACATTATCCATCCAGGGACCAACAACACGACCAACTTCGTGCCGAAAGTCCAGCTGAAATAGATGCTTTTGTCCTAGTGCACATGCTTAGAACACCTTAACCACTGCAGTATAAATTTCAATCA